TATTAGTGGCTAGTGCATTGCTAAAGTTAAAAGGCCCTTTACTATGTGAAGAGTTGATCTTGCCTGCTGCTAAGGACTTTTGTTGTGAACTTATAGGAGAGGCTGCAGTTCAAAAGGCGGCACACGTTCTTCTTTTGGTAAGCACTGTAACTAGGCAAGTTGGTGAAATAGCACAGGCTCTTTTGGCACAAATGCTAGAGAAGACCAGTGAATTACTGTGTTATACAGTCCAGGTTGACAAGTCTACTGTTGTTGAAAACAAGGCAGCAGTGCTTGTCTATCTATTTTCAGGAGGGTGTTCATGGTGGTATGTTATATGCAGTTTTGTTGCCAGCCAACACCACAGCCAGAGAACTATTCAAGTCTTGAATGATGCCATGTCAGGAAAATTGAACTGGTCATTTTATTATTGGTCAGTATATGCATAGACAGAACCACTGCCATGACTGGACGGCCTTCTGGTTTCACTGGTCAGGGCAAAGAGGGCACCCCTGAATGTGAGTCTACACACCGTGTCATTTGTAGAGAAATGCTGCTCAAATGAAAAATGTCACCTGAACTTAACAAGGTTTGCATGATGTGATTTAAACTATCAGCCACATTAAAGGGCTTGCCCTTAACTAAGGTCTGGTCACACAGCTCTATGAGGAGATGAGCACGGAACACATATGTCTCCTCATACACAAATGTGAAATGCTGGATCACTGGCTAGGGTTTGTGAATTACAAGAGCTGCTCCAGAGGTTTTTTGAGTTTTTTTCTTTTTTAGAAAAACAGTCATCACTGGGAACACATTTCAGTTACACAGAATGGGCTGCATAACTTGCTTTCTTATGTAACACATTCAACTTGCTCAATCTGTAACTCAGGGGAGAATGACAACTGTGTTCCATTTGGCAGATAAAGTGGCTGTGTTCAAAGCCAAAATGGAATTATAGGGGCTATAAGTGAACATTGAGATTTTTGACATTTTTCAACCATTAGCAGAGATTCTGAAAGAGACTGAGCCAGGGCCTCTTTTTCTCCCAGCTGGCACATGATCACCTATCTCACTTTCAAGAGTTTGAGCATTGCTTCCCAGCCACAAAAGACCCCTAAACTGGGAAAGAATGGGTCCACAACTCACTTGTAAATAAACAAGGTGAACCAGTTCTGTCTGTGCTGGAAGAGGAACAACTGCTTGAGATTGCAGATAGTGGTGACCTTAAAACTACGTTTGAGACAACTTCAAATCCCATATATTCTGGATTCACCTCAAGGCAGAAAATCCTGGGACTCCACAGAAGCACTGAAAGACTTCTTCCTTTCCTAAAGTCCTATATTTGTGAATCAGGGTTCTCTGCAGTGACAGCAACCAAATGAGACTAAACTGAACAAAAGCCATATATTTTGGATGTCACTGCCTTCCACCACATCCAGGTGGGACTGTGTATTACAAGATAACAAGCTCCACCCTCACACTGATTCTGCAGTATGGTGCATCATACAATTATTTCATTATATCATACAGTGTAGTAATAGAAATAGAGTGCACACTAAATGAAATGGACTTGAATAATCTCACACTCCCCTCCCCGAGTCTGTGGGAAAATTTTCCTCCATCAGGGCCTGGGATATAGCTCAGCAGCACAGTGTCTGCCTGGCAAGTGCAAGGTTGTGAGTTCGATTCCTAGTACCAAAAAAAAGACTCCCATGAAACTTCTCCCGGGTATATAAAATGTTGGGGAACCAGTGCATTAGTGGGCTATAAAATCAATCTATTAATAGCTAGCAGAATTTACAAGGAATAGAATTGAACAGACGAGAGAGCATTTGAGGACTTCACATGCTTAAGTATATTTTTGCTAGATATAAAAGCACTTGTAACTAGGCCATAATACAAGATGTAGTCCTACTTGAGTAAAGTTTTAAATAAGTTATGAAGACCAGGGTCCTCCAGATCATGGGGTCTCACTCTATTTCAATCCAGCATGTCTGGGACACCCAGCTCACCTTTCTATACTTTTCTTTTTGCAGTCAGATTAGCTCCTTCTTCAAATGCCTCTGGTATTGCTTCATTGTCCCCAAGTAAAACCCAAACACAGGAGCCTGATTTTTGAGACCTTCACCCTGATGTTATGTGCCTTTCACCATTCATTTTCTACTCTTCACCAACTACCGACCCTGTTACAGGTCTGAGCTCTAGTTTTCCTGTTTCCCAACCAGGATGCCACCTTGCCACCTTTGCACACAACCGCCCAGCCTGGACTGCCCTTTCTCTGTCCCCTCCCACTGAAATCACATCCATCCTTCAAATTCCCTCAGGTGCTATTTGCCTTCAATACCTTCACCATTGATTTTTGTTAATCCCAGAAGTGATATGTTATCATTCAAGTTCTTCTCATGTAGTAAGAATTTAGTCTTGCCCAAATTGGTTGATATTCTTATCTGTGCATTATTTTCAGACTTCCACTATAAATCCCAATGACGATGAACCATGATTTGTACAGTTATTATTTGACGTCTTGCTCATTTGATCTCTTGCTGCCTCATTTGAAAAGTGAGATAATATCTCCAAGATAAGGGCCTTCTGAGGATTAAATGAGTTAACATGTGTGAAGTGTTCAGGCAAGTGCCTAGCATATATTAAGCACTCAATAAATGTTAACAACTGTTATCATCAATTTATCTGCCTACCACATACCTGGTTTGTAGTAGACTCACAGAAGATGCTTGTATGTGAATAAACTATCCCATATTAATATAATTCTTCTAAAAGTTTCTGTTTCTGCTGTGACTGCTCTCTGCTTACTTTAATTCACCTGTGAACTTCTTCCTTTAATTCTTCTGTGAACTGCATCCTTTACTGAAGCAATTTAGAGATTTGGTGGGAGAACTCATGATTAGCACGCAGTCAAAGTTGTTAGCAGCACTTGTTACAACACTCAAGCAGTATCAGTGGAAGTACCCAGAAAACAAGCCAATAGGAGGTCAAAAGCAGCCAAGGAAGGAGGGTGCCTTTCCTACTAGTGCTAGGTGCCCTCTGCACTCTGTCCTTCCCCACAGCTGCACCGCCCCACCCAAGTTTTCAGCTCCAAGACATCCCCCCTTCTCATTTCCTCTGCACTCTTGACTTGTCTACTCTTAAATCTCTTCCTTTGGATTATTTTCTGCTCCCTATCTAAAAATAAAATTTACAGCAAGAAAAAAGGATGGCTGTGACCCTTGGGGAAAAAATACCATTGTCCCATGCATTGTGGGGAGCACCGGTGTGCTAAGCTACTGAGCTGCCATCCCATGCCCATCCCATCCCCAGGCTGATTTAACAAGTTACTGAATGCATTCATACTCGGCCTACTCCATGAAAGAATTTTTTCAAAGTTTTGTGTAAATAATGCAAAATTCAAGCTGACAGTTACAACAGAAATAACAGGCAATAGCAATTCTGCAGCATTTTTCAACTTTTGAAAGGAAAGAGACAGCTCATGCCAAAGTAATTAAGGCAACCTGGAATCCAAGCATCTGATAATGTCAGCTATCTTCCACAGCAGAGGGGCGTGAGTCTGTCTCCTTTGCTTTTATCTTGCTTCCACATTTCTCTCTGATTAATGACGGAGGAGTGATATGTCAATTGAGGGCCAAGCCTCTGGAAGCCGAGACTAGCCCCGGGCTTCCCCCACAGCGTGGGTTACAGTTGCTCTTATTAATCTACTGTTTGTTGTGCTATTTATGCTGGCTCAACTTCCATAGGGTCCCTTGGAAAATTTCCTCTTGCAGAATCAAGCCAGGAACCTCTTTTGACTACAGATGGTTCTGTTTTTATCCATGGGAGCTTTATGGTACAGTCATGCCAAGTCTGGAATTTCAGGCTCAGCTAGATGAGAAGTTTTGTGTGAGAGTGTGTGAATGTATGTGTGAGTGAGTGTGTGTGTGTGTGTGTGTGTGTGTGTGTGTGTTTCCTTCTCTCAAATTCTTTAAATCCAACATTCAAAATAAAATATGCCAGGAAAATGAAAAGTTAAGTTTCAAAACAACAAGTATCCCAAACCTGGAGGTGCAAAAGCAGCACACCACGAAACTGTATTTCTCTGTCAGAAAGCAAAAATGCTTTTTTAGACTTGCACATACTCAATATTTGATGTTAGGCATATCTCTTCTTGGTGTTTTCTCTTAACCTCGAAACATTCCTTGACAAAGATCAAGTGATTTACATGGATTGAGAATAAGCAATTTCTAGTTTCAATTGCCACAAGGTCTTCTTCATCAGACCTGGTGCTGAATCAAAAATGAACTCCGAGGTTTTTGGGGGGAGGGTTCATTATCAAATGCTCAATTCTTGTGACACTATTCTCCCTTTGTTAACCATTTTCATTCTGCGCTTTGGACTTTTTTCCTTCAATGGTGACTATAAAGAAAAACTCTCTTTTGAAAAGCCAGACATCTCTGCACCAGAACAATAAATGCCACATCATGCATTCATTCTAATGATAATTTTTGTTATTTGAGAAGCAGAGATCATGCATTTGTATCCCTCTGTCAATCTGAGGCTGCGGAATCTCAAATGAAAGCATCTAGCAAAAGACAATGCCACCACTGGGAGGGATTTCAGGGTTCTGTGAGAGGTCTCCATTCCAATTCCTCCTATTTTCAATTTTAGAAATTTGTAAGCAGGTTGAAAAAAGATAATTAGTCAAATTAGAACATATGGCAAGGGTTATAAAGCCAAAGTCTTATGATGGTGATGCCTTACAGTAGTAGAGGTTATAATTGTGATGACAAAGGCAACATAAAGAATTAAACATTGAGTTTGTATGAATCATGCCTGTATGACACTAATAGCTTATTTTCCTTATTGCATCACGGTTTCTTCCACAGAGGAAGAAGAGATCCGAGCCATAAATCCACTTAGCCATTTACTGTTTCTTCTAGCGCATGATAAAGTTGTCAAACTGAGAGACAGATTGAACTCTTTCCAGAGGTACCTTGTATTGTGGATGTTATTTTCCCATTTTCTTTTCACAGGCCACCACAGCTGGCATACTTCTACTACTGTCTTCCAAACAGTGGACACAAAGATACCTGGTAAATAAATAGATGTGGCATATCCTGGTAAAGTGAACTTGAAGGTCAAATCACTACTACACTAGGATAGAACACAGAGAATGGGATTTCCAGTTATAATGGAATTTGATCTAGTGGGGGCCTTACTAAGATGGATTTGAGTAATAAACTATGTTTCAAATGAATGATTTTTAAAGTCTGATGTCTGCTCTAAACAATTTCTACAAATTCCTATGATTATAATTGCCCTTAGGGAGGAGAGAGCCAAAGTTAATGCTCCTGAATCTCATTTTGGAAGAACGCATCTCCTCTGTTCCTCTGCTTTTGTTTGTTTATTCCTTTATTTTTGTGCTGTTGGGAATTGAACCCAGGGCCTCATGCCTGCTGTACCACTGAGCTATATCCTCATCCTTTAATATAATATAGTTTTAAGTCACGAATTGTCAGTCCGAGTTCTCTTTCTCATCTCTCTGTTACCTCTCTCTCTAAAAGATGAAATACTTATGATATCTTTCATTTCAATAATACAGAGCCAGATAATCCCTTGAAAGAGAAAACTACCTTATCTGATTAGACTATTCCCACAGCTAACGCTGTGCTTTTCAAACATCAACATATGTGTGTATCAATGGAAAATCTTGGTAAAATTCTGATTCTGATTCACCAGATCTGGGAAAAGCCTCAGTCAGAGTCTATATTTCTGATAGGCTCCCAACGTGACGTTAGTACTACTGGTCCATGAAACCACTCTGAATGGCACAGTCTGAGAGGAGAAATTCTGATGTTTTTGTTGTTGTTTGTATTTTTGAGACAGAGTTTCACTGTGCAGTTCAGGCTGGCCTAAAACTCATTCTGTAGCCCATACTGGCCTCAAATGTGCAGTAATCCTCCTGCCTCAGCCTCCTGAGTGCTGGGATTACTGATGTGTACCATCACACCTGACAAGACATGCTGTTTATTCATTTTTGTTTTTCCTATGATAAAAATGCCCAGACTGATTCACTACCTATGATAAAAACTGAGTTGATTTCACTTTTACTTCAGCTGCCTGACATGTTTTTCTCTCCTAGTGCACACTGGAGGCTCAGAGAGAGAGTTGTGACCCATCCTCCTGCCTTTCCCAGGAGTGGAGATCAGCATCTCTTTTCATATTGCTAAGGAGCTCTTGAAACAGCTCATCTCCAAAGTAATAATTTGTGTCTGCTTTATTTTCAGTGGGAAGCTTGTTTCACCTTTGTGACTCTGAGCATTATGGGATGTCCACTTCATTTTGCAGTTGCCTTGGAATCTGCTCTCCTTGGCCCCTATTGCTTCTACTCATTTTCAGGGGTTGCAGGGACCAATTACCTTGGTTATGCAGTTGCCTTTCCTTTTCCATACACAAAATTCCCATCAGTTTGTGTGGACCCACTCCACTATGAAGAATACCACCTGACGCTTCAAGCCATTGACCTGTGCCTGAGCTTTGCTCTGTTCTGTGCATCGCTGACAGTGTTCATCAAGATTGCTACAAGACTAATCCAGAATGGACACATCAATGTAAGTTTCAACCAAAGGCAAGCGGGAGATTTACCAGTCACAAAGAAGAAAATGGAAAGTCTCACACAGAAACCTCACTCTTCCCGTCTCCCTCTTCCTTCCTTTCTCCCTCCTTCTTGGGTTTGCCACTATGTTCTATATGATTCTGCTACTCAGAGACTGACACACTATGGGTGCTCAATAATGGTTTTTGAATGAATAAATAGAAATACATTGATGTGACTTCTCTTATAGGTGGAATCTAAAAAGCTCAAACTCATAGAATCAAAGAGTAGTATAGCACCTGCCTGCCAAGTGCAAGGTCCTGAGTTCGATTCCAGGTACAAAAAAAAAAAAAAAGAGTACTATAGTTGTTGCCAGAACCTAGGAGTGGGTGGCAGGAAATAGAGATGCCTTGATCAAAGAGTAAACTTTCAACTACGTGATGAATGAGTTCTGGGGATCTAATGTATAGCATCATGACTATAGCTAACAAGACTATATTGTATATATAAAATCTGCTTAGAGAGTAAACCTTAACTATTCTCAACAAACACATGTGAGGCAACAGACATTTGAGTTAAGTTGATTGTGGTAAACATTTCAAGGACCAAGCTGTATACCTTAAATTTATATAATATTATCTGTCAATTTTTCATTCCTCAATAAAAAGCTCAGAATAATGAAGTAAAACTAAAGTGGGAAATACTAAATATTTTATGTATTGATGGTGCACCTCTTTATCTTGTTCTAAATTTGAGAGGTCATAAGAAAATAGACTATTTTTACTTTTCTTTTAGAGAGAATAATTAAAAAATGATAAAAACATTACAGAATTTTGAAACAAGATGATAGGAAATTAACAATGGTTATTTTATTGCATATTTTTATCTTCAAAGTAGTTGCTCAGATTACCAGATATAAGCACGTAAGATTTGTCAGACAATACAAACACTGTTCCTTTCAATGAACTAATAGAAATTAGTAGTACAATTATCTTAGCTATCTTTGTGTGTGTGTATGTGTGTGTGTGTGTGCGTTCCTTCCTTCTTTCCTTTCCCCCATCCCACTTATTCTTTCCTTTTTGACCAGTTTCTTTCCCTTTACAATATCTATTGTATCTTTTGGATCTTATCTATCCTTTCAGTTTCTTACACTAGGGAGACAATGCAATGGTTACACATGTGAGTCTGATTTATTTCACTTATGAGTATGGACTCTAGTTACATCCATTTACCTGTAAAAGCCTCGAGTTTATCTTTCTGTATAGTTGAGTAAAACTTCATTGTATAGAAGTACCACATCTTTTTTATCTGTTCCTCAGTTGATGAGCATTTGGGTTGTTTCCAAGACTGAGCTATGACAAATTGTGCTGCTATAAATGTGGATGCACATATATTGCTGTAGTATGATGTTTTCAGTTATTCTGGAAAAATACCCAAAAGGAGAATAGCTGGGTTGGATGGCACTTCTCATCCTAGTTTGCTGAGGCATCTGCACACTGATCTCCACAGTGGTTGCACCAGCTACACTCCCAGCAACAGTAGAGAAGGGTGCCTTTTTCCCCCACAGCTCTGCCAGCATTTGTTATGGGTTGATTTCTTGATGATAGCCATTCTTACTGGGGTGAGATGGAATCTCAGTGTTGTTCTAATTTGCACTTATCAAAAGACCAATGATGTTGAACATTTTTTCATGTATTTATTTGCCATTTGTATTTCTTCATCCAAATAGTATTCATTCATCTCAGACAACCATTTTTGGATTGAGTCTTTGAATTTTGAGGGCCTGATTTTCAAAATTCTTTATATGTTCTAGATAGAAGTCCTTTGTCTAAGGGACAATTGTCTAAACTTTTTCCCAATTTATGAGGGTTTTTTGCTCTGTTGATGACTTCTTTTGATGTGCAAAAGCTTTTTAATCAGATGAGATCCCCATTGTTGATTCTTTGAAGTATTTCCCATGCAGTTTGTTTTTTTGTTCATGAGCTCTCTGCCTACTTCTGTTTTCAAGATTTCTACCTACTTTCTCTTCCAATAGATTTAGTGTTTCTGTTTTAATATTTAGATCTTTGATCCATTTTTACTTCAATTTAGTGCACAATAATAGACATAGGTATAGGCTATCTTTTGTTGAGAAAACATACATTACAATAGAATAACCTTGGGCTGGGGATATTGTTCAGTGGTAGAGTTCACAAGAACCTAGGTTCAATCCCCAGCACCAAAAAAATAAAATAAAATAACCTTGAATTTTAAACCAAAACTTTTACATAAGGCTTTGCCATGTTATTTTGTAGTTAACAATGTTGGAACAAAGTGGATGGTTTATTTCTTTCTTCGAGGAGTACTGGGGATTGAACCCAGGGTGTTGTGTATGCAAGGTGAGAGCTCTACTACTGAGCCACATCCCCAGCCCCCCCAAAATTCTGTGTTGGCCAGGAATCGAACCCAGGTCAACTGCTTGGAGGGCAGCTATGCTCACCAGTATACCACCAAAGCAGACTGTTTCATTTTATCTTATTAAATTTTACACTGTAAAATTATTTTAATTGAGACAAATATTGAGTATTTTGTGGAAATTGATACAGCAGCATCCTTCATGTTTTTAATATTAATCAGTTACAAACACCTTAATTTAGTTTTTATCCCATGAATTCCAGAACATATACTTGTTCTGTGACTAGACAATACATAGAAGGAATTCTCCCTCTCTTTCTATTTATACACCAACAGAGAGGCTCACACATCCCCACACCAAGTTTAGCTTTCTAACTCTTTCCGGAAGGGCTAACGGTAACACTGAGATGAGAAGTACTGAGCTAGGGGATGGGAAGTGATGGCACAGACCTGGAATCCCAGCTAAGAGGTTGAAGGAAGAGGATTACAAATTCAAGGCTAACCAGGGCAACGTAGGTAGATGTAGTCTCAAAATTAAAAAGAGATGGGAATATAAGTAAGTGGTAGAGTACTTGTCTAGCAGGAGCCAGGCCCTGGGTTCAATCCCCAGTACCATAAAATAACAATAACAACAAGAACAAAATACTTATTATGTGCCAATGTTTTCCAGAGGCTGAATATTTCATGTAACTCCCCCAAAGTCACACAGCTAATGAATAGTAGGGCCAAATTGAGAATTTAGAATTACCTCTCCAGATTAGGCCAGGTTCATCTTGGCCCTCCTTGTCCCCTACCTTGCAAGCTCCCCGCTCCGTAGGCTCTGGCCCCCAGGAATATTGGAGCAGGATTTCTGGTGGAAGAGCACCACTGATTTCAAATTCTTAAGTCTGTTGCTAATGCCTGTCCTCTGTGGGATGATCAGCCTTCTTCAGAAAGAAATACCTCCCACAGCAAACTCTCATGCTGGCCTTATGATTCAGATTAGTATCATAAATTTGGATAACGTTAGCCAGTGTGTTTTTCTTCTTGGTTGATTCTGTCCACCCAAACCAGCAAAGCTGGAATACAAGAACTTGGCATTCTTGATGCCTTTTGTGGTCATTCCTGTCCTCTTAAACGTCTACATAAGTCTGCAAAGGAAATCCTGTACATTCTTAAGAATAGAGTTGATTTTTAAAGGAGGCTTGCCAAGAGTTGAGGCAAGCAAACCACAATTACCTCCCCCACTGTACTGCCAGGGCATCTGGAAGTTTAGTACTGAAATTTCTTCCTTGTGATAAACATCCAGCATTCTCTGCCTCACGTTTTAAAAGGAATTTGTACCTAGATGAACCAGTCATTGAAGTACTGGCAGTCAACTCCCCAGCATGGGGTAGTTCATGAGACATCTGCCTGTCACCTTATGCGTGACACTCATGACATCTAGGAATATCATGGCTTGGGGAACAGGGGAGAAAACACAGGGGTAAAATTAATTGAAAACAGAGACAACCTGAGGTCAGAGGCAAAGATCTCCGACTTTAAAGTCTTGCTTTTGCTCATGTTGCTTAGGACACAGATTCTTGACGTATGACTTCTCACCCAGGTATAGGACCCAGCGCAACTGCAATGCATTTTTTAAAGTGGGGAAATGACATCAGAACCATGTAGATTCTTGTTAAATCAGATTCCTGAGTCTCACCTGAGCCCTACTACAGCAGAACACCTGCTCCTGGAGGCACAGAACGTGCAGTTCCTAACACCCACTCCAAGAAATTCTCATAACCCTGGAATTTAAGAATCAGAATTTTGCTTTATTTTTTTAAAAATCTCTCTTCCTAGTCTAAGTCTCTCAGTGGCACTTCTGAACAGGCTCAATTTCCCTATGTGCATAGAATTAGCCCTTGATTTGTGTAGAATTTCTAAATCAGTTTCATAAGCAGCACTTCTTTGCTGAGCATTTTGGGGTGATGTGACACGGCTTACTCCACAATGGTGGCAGATCATGTCTCATTAGCAAGGATGAGTGGCTGACATAATAGGACATGACGTTCTATATTAATAAATACAAACTTGCCTGAAGCGTGAGGTGCACAGGGAGCCTGAGAAGCCTTTGTGAGCACACAGAAACCTCGGCTGTGTTTGGCACAACCTCCAACAGTGTTTTAAGTGTATAAATAAATGCATTATTTATCAAAATATCAGAAACACAACTTTCTTTAAAAAAAAAGTAAATCTGTCCAGATACAGAATTCTACAAATTGTTTGCACCTGTAATGAACTCACATTCAGTTATGTCGTTAGATTCTCCACTTGTTGAAAGCAATAAGCACTACTTTTAAAAATTTCATTTCAGTTAGAATAAATATTAAAGGATGCTGCTGGTCCACAGCTCTTCTTTGTTTTATGCACAAAACACTAATAATGCTTTAAAAATTGCCTTTTTAAGTGTCACCCTGAAAATTAATGTTTTTTATGAAAACAGGCACTAGCAAACTTGAACCATAGAATATATAAAATAGAAAAATGTGATGGTTTAAGGAAAATTTGGGAAAATAATTATTTTGGTACTGTACTGTAATAAATTACAAAGCAAAGTCAATTTTTAAAGATTCCTATCAATCAATATTGTGATAGAAAATA